GTCTTTGATAAGTCTCATGCCAGAGGACGTTGCATTCACATAATTCAGCTGTGAGACCATGTGTAGTATCTTTCAGTCTCATTAGAAAAAGCTCTCAATACTGGTTTCATTGTGAATGACATGTTTTTATTCATTTGTGGAATGTGGCATTACTGGCTGGCCAGCATTTACTGCCTGTCCCTGGTTGCCATTGAGAAGATGGTGGTGAGCTGCCTTCTTGAACCACTGCAGTCCACCTGTTGTCGGTTGACACAAAATGTCATTAAGCAGTGAATTAGACGATGAAGGTCACTAAGCCATGAAAGAACTGATTTGGGAAACAAATAAAGAGTAGTACCTTTCTTATAAGAACTCCTTGATCTATTCTAAACATTTTACAAACTAAACTACTTTAAATTAAATTAATATGGAGTTGGAGGGGGAAATAATGCACTCAAGCGCCCATGGTGCCCACCTATCTGTAAAAGGCATTAAGGATGACGGTGGTAGTAGGCACTGCAGATGTTGGAGAATCTGAGATAACGAGGTGTAGAGCTGGATGAACATAGCAGGCCAAGCAGCATCAGAGGAGCAGAAAAGCTGACATTTCCGGTCTAGGCCCGAAACGTCAGCCTTCCTGCTCCTCTGATGCTGCTTGGCCTGCTGTGTTCATCCAGCTCTACACCTAGTTATCAAGGATGACGGTGGGCTGTCTTTTTTCTTCAATATGTGCAAAGGTAAATGCCACCTGGCTGAGTTAGTAGCCCTAATGCCTTTTGAGTAGGAAGGTTATGGCTTCAAGCTTCAAGCCAGATTCCAGAAGTTGAGAATGTAATCTAGCTTGGTACTTGATCAGTACTGAGAGAATTTGCATTATCAGTTATTAGAATCTGGTAAAATTTTTAAGTGGCATGGTGCTGCTCTGGCCAGTGTTCCGTTCTCCACCAACACCACCAAAAACTATTTAATTAATGATTGTTATGGGATCTTGCCATTCCATATTTTCTTTCATAACAATAATCATTGCATTTGAAAGTACATTTTTATCCTTTGTGATGTACTTTGAGAGATTTGCTGAATATGAGATAAACACTGGATAAATGTAAACCTTTTGTAAAATTTCCACCCACCTCTTTTGTAGCAATAAACTGAGGACACATTGGGCTTCAGTCATGATGATAAGAACATAAGAAATGTAGTTGGACATAGTAAAGCACTTTTTACGCAAAACTCCATCATAAACAATCATAGGGAAGGGAACAAGTCGAATTTTCGCTGCCACCCATTGCTTGTATCCTTGAACTGCGCCAGTGAAACCTTGTTTTAGAAGCATACAAATGCACCTTGGCAGCTCCGTTTCACCTCGGACTGAATGCTGGCAGTCAGTGGATAAAGAATTATATGTTTCATACAAAGCTAATTTTGTTTACATTTAGAATTTAACTGCAATCTACAAGCAGTGTTTTAACAAGGTCTGCAGAAGAGGAGTTAGGCTTAATTGAAAAAGTAGTTGAAACTGGTTCATTTGTAACTGCGTCAGCTAGGCTTTGTGGTAGGAATGTATAAACGCAACTAGTCATTATTTAGCACTGTATGTGACTCTCAATAGAGAGTTGAAGTTGTTTAAGAGTTCAGTTTCCTGATCCATTTAGGTAGCAACAAAGGAGGTTCTGCATAATCAGTATGAGGAGCTATGCGCTAATTACAAAGCAGAACCTCAAAGGCAATAATTCCTAGATTATTATGGAGCAAGGTGCAAATTGGTCATATTAGGCTGGAGAGATGAATGTGTGGCTCTAAGATTGGTGTGGGAGCAATGAGTTCCAGTATATGGAACACTGACACCAATTCTGGGGAAGTGGGATCTGTGCTGATGGGACAGTGTTAATTTGAACTGTTCTAAGGCTAGTTTTCTTGCAAGCTGCATAACTATGGAAGTAAAAAATGATTTTAAACTAAACAGTGGGGACAAGATCAAATTTGGAAAGATTGCAAATCAGCGAGTGGAAATGAGGCTCAAGAGAAATGGATTTATACAGGCAGTGATAAGCAGACCTCGACAAGGAAGAAGACAGAGTACAATTCTAAGAGCAAACTAACATAAGACAAAAATTTATAAAAGGATAAAACTAAAGACTCGATCTGAATGTGCATAGCATCTGATGAAGAGCCACTGAGGTTGAAATTTTAACTCTGTCAGCATCTGTAGGGTGAAAACATACCTGAGTTTCTCCAGCAATTTCTGTCTTTGACTTTGATTACCTTGTTATAATTTTTCTCTGCTAAAGTTATTGTCTGTTTAGTAAATTAAGTCTTTTGTTTAAGATACAAAACTGGTGTCTAGATTTTAATTACTGGTGAATTCTGGGATCGGTTATTCAAAAAAAGTCTGGTTACCAATCATTGAAGTAACTATTGAGGGTCTTTGAAGGGTTAATTTAACTGTGTATTGAGTACCATAGCAGAAGGCCGATATAGTTCAGCTGTCTCAGTGTCATAACATATTGAAGATGCCTCTTAGTAGTAGTGATTGTAATATGATGGAAAAGCATTCAGTTTGGGGGAGAGGAATGGGTCCGAAGCTGTTTTAAAAAATTTAAATAAGGGAAATTGAGGGCATGGAAGCAGAGTTGGCTAAAGTAAATAGGCCAATTAGGTTTAAACAAATGTCAGTTGAGAAGCAATGGCCAACATCTAAGTTGACAGATTTTTCAGAATAAATAGGTACATTCCCTAAGTAAGAAATTTCTCAGGAATGGATCCATCATTCATAACTGGAAAGGTTAAAAATGGTATCAGTCTTAAAGAGAAAGCATATCATTTGAAAAGACAGGTGGCAGGTTAGAAGATTAGATAAAATTTTAAAAACAGCCAAGTATATTCAAAAGTTAATAAAGAAGGACAAATGTAGAGAACGAGAGAAACCTAGCCTGAAATATTAACCTTTAAAAGGTACTTGGTTGAACACTTAATGTCATGACATTCAAGGTTATGGACCAAGTGCTAGAAAGTAGAACTAGTATAGATTTAGAGTAGTTTTTTCTTTGGTGCAGACTTGATGGACTGTAGAACCTGTTTTGTACAGTATGATTCTATCAAAAGTGAGAGATTATAGAGCTCTGAAATGAGTGGGATCTGGGTGTTCTTGTGCATTTATCGCAAAAGTTTAGTATGCAGGGATGGCAAGCATTTAGGAAAGCTGATAAAATTCTATCTTTTATTTCAAGGGAAATTGAATGCAAGTGTAGGAAGGTTATGTTTCAGTTATACAAGACACTGGTGAGCATGGATTTGGAGTACTGTGTGTAGCATTGCACACCTTATTCATTGACATAATTTCACAGCAGGTTTACCCTGCCCACCTGAAATGGGCGATTTCCTTTGAGGAAGAATTAGACAAACTCAGCTTGTATAGCTGGAGTTTAGATGAGTAAGGTGACTCGATAGAATATTAAATGTTTCAAAGGAATATTAACAGGCTTGATGTGCAGAAAATGTTTCATCTTATGGGAAAATCTAGAACTGGGGGTCACTTTAAGAATAAAAGGCCGCTCATTTAAAAAAAATGAAGTAAACTTCTTTCCCTTCAGAGCATTATAAAAAGTCTTTGGAACTCTCTTCCCTAAAAGCTGGTGGAAGCAAAGTCTTTGAATATTTTTAAGACAGAGATGTATTCTTGGTAAGCGGTGAGGGTGGGGGGGATGCAGTTATTGGGGTGGCGAGAGTGTGGATTTGAAATTTTGATCGGATCAGCTATGATCTCATTAAATGGCAGAGCAGACTTGAGAGGGTGAATAGTCTGCTCCAGATTCTTGTTCTTATTATTTCCCAATGTTCTATTCCAGTGCTGTCAGCCTTAGTCCAACACTTGGCTGGTTTAAATAATGTTGGCATTTTAATTGACATTTTCTGTTACAAAATGGAACAGTAACAATTAAACTTCATTCACAGTACAAGAATGGGTGACATTAGTGACAAACCTCATGTTTCATTGAATGTTGAGAACTTGCCTTTTTTTTTGGGATGAACTCCTAAAACTGAATATTAAGTTCTTATTGTCTGACACTTGGATCTCTGGGCTGTAAGTTCTACAATGTCTCAAACTTCAAAGCAGCAAGAAAATACCTAAATCAACACTGGCATTTGGGTTCATATCATGTCCTTTGAAATTCTCCATTGAAATGTAAAGTTGGAATGATCATATGTTTACGCATGATGTTTCTATTTCTGCCCTCAGCTCATCCCTAGTATCTTACTCATGTTTGCAGCCATTAACTCTTCAAGATTCTCATTGCACCTTGCCAATTTTTGTTATTTTTCAGTCCTAAACTTCTGGCTTTTGCCTAACAATATTTTTGACTGTAATCTGCTACTCCTGAAGGCAATAGCACTAACTGGGTATGGTTACATGGATCTTCCAGCAATTTCACACTCATGCTTCCTGTTAGTGAATTTAAGGCATTCAATCTCAACAGGCACTGTTTGCTTTGACAAATCATGTCATTTATCTCATGCAATGCACTGCACTTTACTACATCATTGAATGATGATCAGCAGCAACTCTGGCTGATTTTTCTTTCCCTTCTATGTTCCAAAGGGAAATCCTGGCCCAGCTGAGGTCTGCTAATTTGATACAGACTTGGAATTAAGTCCAAGACTTCTGTCTGTAAGCTTTAATCAACTGAGATAGTAGAAAGTCAGAAAATCATAACAGGAGTGACATTGTAAATTGTGCATCATCATCTGAACTCTGTGTAGAGCACTGTTAGTTAGGCTTTGCAATCACAAAAGCAAATTTCCTTTTACTGATTGATTCATCCATTCTGATATTAGTGCAATGAAAATGGATTCCATGCCACATAACCAAGGGAACCTGCTTCAATTGGCTTGCATAAACTATTATTTGAATTGAACTGTTAAGAGAAGCTTCCTTGTAAAAGGGAATGTGTTGATGGCCTATGGGTCTGTAAAAGAGAGGAGCATTTCTTGCTGACCAACACACTTTTTCTCTCTGATTGCAGCTGGCTATGGGGAAAATGATGGAGCAGGGACCTGTTCTAATAATCACCTTCCAGGCTCAGCTTGTCATGGTCATCAAGAACCACAATGGAGACGTGGTGGAGGGCGACCCGGTATGTAAACTTGAGTCCCTGAAATGACATAAATGTTGAGCATAACAAAAATGTCTCAATAGAGCTTTTAAAGAACAGTAACGGTGAACTGGTTTGGTTGAAGTGAAGCAATTTCAATTTTAGTTTGTAAAAAGCAACTGATTCAATGAAATGTTAGCGTTTGCTTTCAGTGAAAGTTGAAGTACCGGGGCTGTTTAAAAATTAAATTCTTTAGAAATAAAAGTTGTGGACTACATTGTCAGAAAAGCACATTTAAATTGAAACCTTGAAACAATTTGATCTTGTTTCTGCAGAGACGAGGGATTGAGGGTTGCAGTGAGAAGCCAGGGTGGTGAGGTTGAATTTTTTTTTTGTGATTCGGCATTGTTGATCTTGAAAATTCTCCTTTTCTGTTCTGAGATGGTTTAGATTATAAACTGCACACTGATAGTGAGGATTGTATTAGTTAACTGAGATTCTCATCCCTTCCTTCAACTTTCACTAAGCCAACTTAGTTGCTGTCACTCACTTTGTAGGCTTGAACATGAAGAGTGGCTATGTAACTGAAATTCAGGGAGAATATCCTGATCTTAATACAAGGGGAGGAAATACGCATGATCTTTCTTTAACTCTAGAAGACCCATCAGAGTCTGAAACATCACATCGCCACCTCCACACCACCACCACCAACATGTGATATCATTAGAAATTTTGCTGGAGGGTACCTCACAGCACCAGGGACTCTGGTTCAATTCAGGTGACTGTCTATGTGGGGTTTGCACATTCTCCCTGTGTCAGTGTGTATTTCCTCTGGGTGCTCCGGTTTCCTCCCACAGTCCAAAGATGTGCAGCTCAGCTGAATTGGCCATGCTAAACTGCCCATGGTATCCAGAGTTGTGTAGGCTAGGTGGGTTAAGCGTGGGGAATGCAGGGTTACTGGGGCAGGGTAGAATGCTGTTTAGCCAACAGTCTGTGCTACCTCCTGTGCAGCCATTCAGTCAATCACAATCTCCCTTGTGTTGCCTCATAATTTACCTTGATTTGGCTTCCCATTAATTAATATAAAATAAAGAACTGTGCACTCCGGAAATCTGAAAGAAAAATAGAATTCGCTGAAGGAACTCAGCAGGTGTGGCAGCATTTGTGGAGAGAAAGGCAGAGTTACCGTTTTGGGTCCAGGCCAGTCCAGGTTCTCCAATTTCCCCGTATATCTGAACACCCAGAAACTGGTGAACTTCCTCTACCTTTTGATATTGACATTCTGGCTCAGTAGTTAGCACTGCTGCCTCTCAGCGCTAGGAACCCGGTTTTCATTCCACCCTTGGGCGACTGTCTGTGTGGAGTTTGCACAATCTCCCCGTGTCTGCGTTGGTTTCCTCCAGGTGCTCCAGTTTCCTCCCACAGATGTGCAGGCTAGGTGGATTGGCCATGCTAAATTGCCCATAGTGTTCGGAGATGTCTACATTAGGTGGGTTATAGGGGGATGGGTCTGAGGGGGATGCTCTGAGGGTTGGTGTAGACTTGTTGGGCCAAAGGGCCTGTTTCCACACTGTAGGGAATCTAGATCTAAAGTGTCACACACAGAATGTGCCTGTTAGTTTGGTTTGTGAGCTGCCCAAGGACAAAAACAGACTTGTAAGGTCACTACTGTATTAGTCACACCAACTGATCTACCAATAAGATTTGTAGTCTGCTGAATCAATTTAACAAATTAAATTATTTTAACTTGGTTTCATTCAATCCACCTTAGAAACAGAAGAGACAGACATGAACTTTTTAAAATGCAGTTTTCAGTAATAGATGTCTTAGCATTACACAGGAAATATACATGTATAGTCCTTACTGCTTAAAGCATTCC